AGAATAGAATAGAATAGAATAGAATAGAATAGAATAGAATAGAATAGAATAGAATACCTTTATTGTCATTGCATTCTACAAATACAATGAAACTTGAAAGCTACTCCAGCACAGTGTCCCAAACACCACATCACAATCACACCATAGGGTATTTAAAAATTAAACTAATTAAAATAATAATTAAAAACCTAGTCTAAAACCTATCTAAAACATATAGTAAGTTAGTAAGTTAGTAAGTATAGTAAGTTATGCATTGTTTGATTCAGGACAATTATTGCCTTGGAAAAGAAACTGTTTCTCGGTCTATTAGTCCTCGTTTTAAGACACCTATAACGCCTCCCTGATGGTAACAGTTCAAAATATGAATGTCCAGGATGAGAACGGTCTGTGGAGATTTTTAGTGCTCTAGAGTCTGGTCTTCGCAATCTCTTCCAAAGATGAAAGAGAGCAACCGATGATTTTTTTGTGCTGTGTTTATAACTCTCTGGAGCATCTTCTTATCCACTACAGAGCATCCAGCATACCACACAGTTACACGGTATGCCAAAATGGTCTCAATGATAAAAAGTAACTAGCAACTTCTCACCCAGACCACTCTTTTTCAGCAGCCTCAGAAAGTGCAGGCGCTGTTGGGCCTTCTTTGCAGTGGTCATAGTAAGGTTGTCAGAAATATGAGTTCCTAGAAATTTAAAACTATGAACTCTTTCCACAGTCTCTGTTAGTATTAATATTAATATTAATATTCTGTAAGAAGCAAAATCCTTCTGGGTTCAGTTCCAAGGGGGGAAAAAGACACTGCAAACATGGAGGCTGTTTGGAAGGTGGTTTAATGGTGGACAGCAGGACCACATGGCTTGAAGCTCCAAAGAAGGATGATCACATGCTCCAAGGTGAAGGAAAAGAGAAGGAAGGGCTGATATGCTGAGAGCGCCTGGGTTTTATAACCTTTGTTGGGATTTGAATTGGAGCTTGTATTCTGATTGGTTGTCAGACTCCCAGAAGGCCATGCGGGGCAACTCTGTAGGCTGTCCTGAGCTCCAGGCTTGGTTGAGCCTTGCTGGATGATGATGCACTGAAAGGAGTTTTGAGCAATTGCTATAGCTTTACCTGGAGATCTTTGTTATGTAAACTATTTTGGCCCAGGCCTTAATGGCCCACCCATTAACAAAGGTGGGGGTGACCTTCTACTTCTGAGGTGAGTTTCTGCTTTTGAGTTTCTACTCTTTTTAGAGGAAGTATTCTGCCTTTTTAATATTTCCCAGGATATTTCATTTTTCTAGGAGAGGGGTGGGTGATAACTTCCTACAATTCATTAACTGGTAAGACATTGTGACATATGATTTTATATACTATCCAATCTTAGCCAGCATAGTTCAAGGTTGTCTAAGCCTAGAATCTCAAGTCTGGTGCTGTAGTAGGGTATTCTGTTGCGATCTATCACTTCTATCACTCCCCGCTCCACCATTTGTCTGAAATGGTACATAGGGTTTCCTTCCTGCCTGAGCAGGCGGTTGGACTAGAAGACCTCCAAGGTCCCTTCCAACTCTGTTATACTGTTAAACATTACTCAACATTCAATCTGTTCTCCCAAATATGCTTTTTTTTTTTTAAAAAAAAGGCCCCACTGGTTTTTGGTTTTTTTTTTTTAGTTGTTTTTTTTTTTTTTCCAGGAGCTTCTTCAGCTCTGACGGGAGGGGGGGGGGGGGAATGGAAAGATTTATATTCCTTGCAGGCAGCTGGTCATAAATCCTTTGATTCTCCACCATCCAGTCAGGATTAGGATTAGGATTTTCTATTGGGAATTAATGTGGGAAAATTTAATAAAGATGTAATTGTTGAGGTAATTCCCCGTTAGGAGAATGAGAGCATACAGGGAGACGTATTTGAGAGTAGTGTTTGAATAATACACACACAGCACACAGATACACTGTACAGTAAATGTAGGTTTTTACTTCCAGAAAGGGTTAAGCAAAGTTCAAAATAAGCAGTCCAAAGTCATTCTCAGGTAAATCAGTCAGGTTTCAATCCAGGGATAATTACAATATCAAAGTCCAGTGTCAAAAACAGTTCAGTATCAGACTTACATCAAATCCAGGAATACCAGTCAATTATGAGGAATGGCAAAACTCTCCAACAGAAGGAAACAGAGATACTCACTCGGACACACTCTCTTCTGAGACTAAGACTAAGACTTAAAGAGACTAAAACAACCCAGGTTTCTGGCTCCATCTTATGGCCGTTTGAGAAACCACACCCAATTGCAGTTTTTGCAGTCTCTTAAAGACATACTACTAAAATGTCTATCCTGGTTTATATATTTCCAACCCAAATAGCTGTTAGGTGACTTACATTCCTAACAATACTTAATAATCCATATCACCACAGCTGCAAGATTAGCTTATGCCCAAAGATGGAAAGGTAATGAAACATCAGATGAGATGGAAATAATTAGGAAAATTTGGATGTGGGCCAAAATGCATAAATTAACTCAAGAATTAAAAAATAAGACCGAATCTGATTATTATAAAATTTGGGAGAAGTTTTACCACTGGTTGAAAAAAGGAAGGAACAAGAATACCAAAAATGACTAAACCTTATTTATATATGTAAATTTATATTACATTCTATATTTATTATTTAATGATGTAAGACAATCAGGTGTGTCAGGATGTATGCACCACGTTCATTGTTGTTTTTAAATGTCTCTCTTTTTTGTATATTTAATAAAATTTATTTAAAAAAGAAGAAGCTTCTTGGATGAGAAGCGAAACGACTTCAAAGAAAAACAAAGGAAGTCCAGTGGCCTCTTGAAAAAGCACCTTTGGGACACCCATGACCTGATTTAGGGGTCTCCAACCTTGACAACTTTAAGACTTGTGGACTTCAACTCCCAGAATCCCTCATCCAAACGGAATAATTATGATTTTCCATAATTTGAAAACACTAATTGAAAGGTGGACTATGAAAATAGCCAATCCCGCGGGGCTCAAACACTGGGAGAGTCAGAGATCATTGTGCTACTCGGTTCATAAAATGGGTGTTGCAAGAACTTGGCGAGGCAACAGAGACAAATCTCTGGTGGGAGGATCTGTTTGCCAAAAGTTGGGTCTGAATCTTGAGGACAAGTATCGGGCGGCATTTGGTTCCACACAGAGCTCAAGCAAGAATCCATATTACAGAAGGCTAGCTAAGAAATTAGATTGGCCACCCAAATAATGTTTCGTGTTGCTTTTTCCTGTTATCTAAGCCGGGGTCGCCAACCATTTGGGCCTCAGGGCCCACCAAACTCATAATTTTAAATCCCGTGGACCACTAATATGAATTTTGACTGATGGTGGCTTGCTGACATTGTTGGGAAAGAGATCTGATCTAACCTCTCCCTCTCCCTCTCTCTCTCTCTCACACACACACACAGGCAGGGGTGGGATTCAAATTTCTTAATAACCAGTTGTGGGTGTGGCCTAATTTGTGGGTGTGGCTTGATGGGCATGGTTTGTATGTAAATATTATAAAATATTGATGTAAATATTGATTTTTTTATTAAAAAAAAAGAGCAACTTTTACCGAAAATCAGGCAAAGCAGGCAGGCAGATTGAGTTGCTCACAGCATCACAGATTCACTCAGAGATCTATCTTTCTGCCATTGGCTACCTGAGTCTGCACTGAATAATAGAAGCTTCAGTCCTAAGGAAGGTTTGGCTCTGCTTAAAAGCAGAGCCGAAGATCTAAAGATCCAATGATTTCCTGCTTTTTAGCTAATCTAAATCTCCCGGCACAGCAGAACAGTTGATGGTCGTGGGGGGAAAAAAAGGAAAAATAGCAACTTAGCAGGCAAGTTTGCCAGGTAAGGAGTGAGTGGGCGGGGAGGCTTTCCGCGGGCCATGTGGGTGGCGCAGCCTTGTGTTCCTGCGCAGCCTGGATTAGTTGTTTTGGGGGTTGAAGAAGAAGCAAGAATGTGGCTTCCG